GAAAGCCTGGATGAGATCGCCCCTCCTTAACCTTCGTTCGAGCGAGTACAGTCCCAACACTTCTAAACGCTTCTCGTATGATAGTCCCCTGACCTCCTTAATCATTCTTGTGGCCCTCCTCGGTACTCCCTCGAGCGCCAACAAACACAAGAGGATAATCTGTTTGTGTCTGGGTGTCATTCCGGGGAAACTCCTCTTAGACGTATGAACAGATTTTCATGAGTCAATCGAAAGCTGAACTAAGGCGATACTTCTTGGATAATAGTCTGAAAAACAGTCCGATGTTCATGCAATTAGGTAAAATTTCGGAACTAAGTCATTATACCGAACGCCTTCCCTGGCTGTGTGCTCACACATCGTGACCCGCACTCGACCGGAAACTCGATCGTCAATCTCGCTACACGACCGATGCACGGGTTCGATACCAATCCGCGTACCGTCCAAGCTCAAAATATCTCCCTATTCTACTCGGGCGTTTCTATATTAGAACGGGGTCTCGCTTTAATGCTACGAAGCGGAACTCGCTCAACATTTGCGTACAGGCGATTGGAGTTTCCCTAAGGACGGAACGCATCCACTTACACTCGATTGAAACCATGTCTGTTTAAATTCGAAAGTTGTGTCGCTTTAGAATGCTTTGAGATGGAACTCACCGGATACTGTTACAAAAGGGAAAGTGGGAGTCTCTGAATACGGAAACCATCCTCCCTTTCTCCATCTGATTCCAGAGAGTTCCAAATTCGTTCGGTGTGTCTCATTTTAATACTATAGGTGTCATTTGAAAGCTTATGACCTCGTGGAGATAACTATTGTGATAAAAAATTCAAAAAGTCCTACCATTTTGACGTCATTGGGCCTAATTTCGACGATAAGAATAGCATTTTACTGAATACCATCCCGGGCAAAGTGCTCACAACCAACAATTAGAGTACGAGACATTGTCGTTATTGAAGTGGCTGCTATGGTAACTGCTGGCAATGATGATATGTCATAGTTTGTCGCCTTACCTGTCCCTTCGCCGGTTCACAACAGTGCTTCACGTAAGTTTGCAGCATTGAGTTAGTATTCCATATTATTCTCAATTTTTCTGTTCTCAAAATGCCACGAAAAAGGTGGGGAAGTTTAAACTTTTCTGCGGCGGGATCTACTGAACGTAAGGGAAAGAGAGAAGTTCTGGAGTCACAGTCAGTGGGTGAAAGTGCATGACGACATGCACCAAATGCTACTTCGCTGGCTGCTTCCAGGAACAGCGAAACTGATGAAGAGAGAGCAGGAAGGCATGCACGAAATACTCTGACTCGACTTCTTTTAGCCCGTGCTCGCACGGGCTTTAATACTAGTTATACTCGTGTGCAGGGCAGAGATTTTAAAAATATTTATTTAGTGTGATTTCCTTACTTGAAATTAAGACGTTGGCTGCCAAGCAGAATTTTTAACATTGAAAATGTATCACCAGTGATGCACTTGGCAGCCAAAATGTTGAGAAACGAAGTGCAGGCACTCATAACACCTGTAAAACGCAAAACCTCAGGTTGTGATTGCTGTCAAGTGTACCTGTTTTCAGGGTACAAAATAAATTCATAACAATTTGAACTTCTATTGGTTCCTCAAGCCCCTTCGTTCAATCCTGGTTTTTGTTCACTAGCCTTACCTCAATGTAAATGTAAAGTATTTCTACTTGTTGACATACCTCTTTATGTAGCTATGAATCGACCTTTTCCATAGGTACCAAGATGCCATTCCTGTTATTGAAATGGGCTTGGAGGTAGTACCCAAATTCCAATATGGAGTATTCCCATGGCCAGGGAAAAAGAATCCTCGAGCCATTGAAGAGTCTAAGCCAGGGAAGCTCATTGTAAGTAGAAATGGGACATTTTATCAGTTATTATTATGTATCACTGACATATTTTTTTAATTTCTGCTTCATTCTTCAGGAACTTTGTCTTTTTTCTTTTTTTTTCCCCACGCATCTCCATGCCTCCAATACTCACTTAGAAAGTTCAGTTCTGCTGCTCTCTTGAGTCTGTGGATCACTGTGCTGGGTAGAGCTGGAGTCCATAGTGGACTGTTGCAGTGATAGGCTTCAAAAATATTGATGCATCAGGAAAATTATTTGCCATTTATAAATGAGCTGTACCAATCACTACTCTGATAGCAAAGGTGGGGAGGGGGGAGGGGGTTTGTTGTTGCTGCACATGAAAGACTACTAGGGCAGAAATGCAAGCAGGTTATCTGAGTTGCAGCATAGTATTAACTGTTGCCTAAATGATTTATAGGATCTATTGCTGTCCTATCACTACTGTGATTTTTCACTCTTGTGCATTCTGATTCTATCACTTTCTTTCTCAGTCTCCTGATGCATTATGAAGCCTGCTAATGCCATCAATCTTGACACTGAAGAATTGACAGCCTTAATTCCTAATTTATCAAACAAATTATTATTATTAGGTTATGTTTCAGGCTGGTATAATCAATTCTTTGATTTTGTTTTAATCAGTTTATATTTACCTCTGTAAATTTGTAAGAGGAAAAAAAATTATAAATGGAAATAAATTTCCCCTTGGCATCATAATGTTTCAGGGAAAATTTGTCATTTTTTAAATCTTCAAGACTTAATTAGGGTTGACTTGAACCATTGTTGCTGGGGAACCATGCAAGGGTTATGCACAAATCAGTGCCATGCAATTCAAATCCAAACCCAATATGTCTCTCACCAGTAAAGTATTTTTGGAGGGTTTTTTACATTTTTAATTTCACCCTTTCAATGCTGAGTTTTTTTTTTGAGGTGGTACCCCCTATGCAGGTATATTTCAGGTTTTTGTCTGTTTTAAGAAAGATGGTACTAATTTGAATACAAAAATTAGTACCACTTTTGAATCATGAAAGGGACTTTAGTGTAATAGAGCTTTATTCCTCCTTTAGTGCCACTAAAGGAGGTTTAAAGCTCCATTACACTAAAGTCAGTTCTATGCAATCCAGCATATATATCTTAAACCCCTAAAACCAGTTACTTAAAGGGGCAGAGCATTTCTCGCTGTATTTATATTGGCTGTCACAGTGGCATCAAATGTGCTGGAATGGATGAATTAAGTATTTGGTTTTGCAGCCTTGAAAAAAAAAAATTATATGAAAAATTTATAAATATTAGAAATTATCCATGATGACAATATATATATATATATATATATTCTGAGAGCTGCAGTTGGTAATAACAGGTCTTGCTTTGAGTTTCAAGGTTAAATGTGCCATGGATGGGTCTTTTTTAATTTAGAAATGATTATTAGGCCAATTATTTGGTCAGAGTTTTTGCAGCCTCAGGACTATCCTTTATTCAGGCTGAGTAGCTAAAGACCAACATCAATCTCCATGAGATCAAAATGAGTACTTTAAAATAAAAAACAATTTGTTCTATTAGTAAGTTTTAAAACAATTAGTTTAACAACTTCTTTACATACAATATGTTAAGCAAGAATTAGTATCTGGTTTTTAAATACTTGTGTATTGATTATTGGCCTGAATGCGAGTCATTGCCTGTATGTATGTGAAGACTAACTTTTAATCATACTTTGTGAGGTACTCAATATATCTCATTCTTTTTCTCTGAGTGAAATGTTGAAATATGGTTGGTTTATTATTATTAAAAAAATTTTCATTAATTTGGAAACCAGGCCACATTGAACCAAATGCTGCATATCTGCCGTAACCCACCACCACCAGATGCAGTGTGTCGCTACTCCAAGTGTTCCACAGCCAACACCAGCAAGGAGAATAAGAGTGAGATTTATTACACGTGAGTCTTTCCAAAATTCACCCTGTTTTGGTCTTGGATTTGCAGACAAACTTCAGTGAAGAAACTCATGTATTGGTGTATTTATACAGGGATCCTGATTTCAAGGGATTCTATCAACTTATGTGTCATGATAAGTGCATTATTCAATTTCATCCTTCATGCTGGAAGGCATTCAAGCTAGATGAGGAGATTCATAATGACAAGGTTTGTCAATTTGTATTTTTATTTTGGACTTTGTGGTTATGTAATGCTAAGGTTTTAAGCTATAGCATTACACCATTCATCCTCTTGCACATTTTGATTTATTGTAAGTTAAAAAGCCAAAATGTAAATCTAAAAGAAAAGAAAGTATTCATGTAAAGTAATGTACACTTTCTTCTGTAAAGGAAGTATTCATGATGACATATAACTCAATTTTGTTGATGGATGAAATGGGATTAAGTTAGGGCACCTTTGCAGATCATCAGATTACAGCCACCTGTGCATTTTGGCATATTTCAGGAATTACTTGATCGTATATGCTTGACGCCTGACTGTGGAAACCCTATAGTTTGTATTGAGATCATCGGGACTGATGGAACAAAACAGCACATCATAGAGAAAGAGTCTGCCCAGAGTAAACAGCCTGCTAAGACAAAAAAAACGAAGTGTGCCTCTTTCTCATATTTCTTCAGTTTGAGAAAGAATAAAAACTGACTGAAGCATTTGTTTGTTGCAGAGCTGAGAGAAGGCAGGAGAAGAAACAAGAAAAAAAGAGGCGGAAGCAAGATGACTCCACTGGCCTCTCCCGAGAATCAGAGACAGGATCTGTCAATAGTGAAGAGGTGAGACCGTTTGGTTCTGTAAATTCAGGACCAAAACCTGATATAGAGGACTTGCATCTCTCTGTTTTGGTTATACTTTTGAATTGTATCATGCCTACAGTCTTTCTCTTTAAAGGATTCCTTCTCTGTACAGGGGGTGTTTTCATCTGAAGAGATTAGCCTCATGAAACATACCTTACATCTCATTCCTTATCAATGTGAAGTTATGAAGGAGTCATTCCCTCTTCCAAATCTCTGGTCACATTAGGATAGTGCTGCCCAAAGGCTTAAATGTTGGTTAAGTGCTGCAAATGTCTGCACTGGGGGTAATCTCGGCACTTTGCAATCATCAAATTCTACTTCCACCACTTGTCCCCTAGGCATGGGTAGATAAGTATTCTCAGAAGGTAGGTCTAATGTTGTTAACATGTGCTTGGAACAGCCATATTTGCTGTTGTAATTTTCTCACAGTGGCCACTTTCTCTAAGTGCACTCCGAAAATCCTGCGAAATCTTGTGATTTTGCTAAGCTTTTGCACATTCCATTCTTCTCATCCACATAACCTGTTTTCATCAGGTCATTGCATTCATTTTTGGATCCATTGTAAATGACAGTGATACATAAGTGTGCCAAAATTCCCAACAGGGTGGAGCTGTTTATACCAGCAAGTGTACTGAGATTACCAACATCTAACCCAACTTCACCTTTGGCCCAGGCCATTGGAAATGAAAGGCTTGGGGAACTCAAGGTTCGCAGTACAAGAAGGTTTCATAATAAAGGTATCACCAGACCCAATATGAACAGGGAAGCTCCATTACAAAAACCAGCAAGAAAGGTGGAAGTGCAGAATTTGCTTAGAGTGCCGACATTCGCAGCACTCACCCTATAGGTTTTCCCAGGCATTTCAACAAATCTCAAGTTTTATTTCATACACTAAAAGAAGATTTGTTCCTGTCTTTCATAATAGCAGTTCAAGTACATTCTGACCATTGAAGAATATTCAAGAATAACTCTGTGTACTATTCCACTGAGAAATTGCAGTGTCAGCAATCCTTAGAAGTATTTCTCCTGATACTGTTTCAACCATGTCACAAGTCTTATCTGCAAGGGTTAACATATTCTAGAACTTCTAATGAGAACTTGATTTATTTCTGTTGAGAAGAGTTCTCATGTGGTTTGAGAACCCCACCTCCCAACAGGAATAAATAGTTGAGTTAGGTGAAGTTTTCCAGGAGCCCATAATTACTAGTTTACATAATGCCTATCACAATTTGGAAAAGTTCTCTCAATAAATTAATTCATATAAGTTAATAATTCTTTTTTTTTGTAGGTGTTTTGCTTTCATTAGCCTATATTTTTTGGTTTATGTTTATCAATTAATGTGAATTCCAGGTCTTATCTGTTGGAGATGGTTTGGACCTGCATGGTCGTGGAAATTCACCTGCTCTGGAACCTTGTCCACCTCTGGAACCACCCAAGAAGAAGACCTCCATCCTAATGCCTCCCAGGGCCATTGAGGAGGGCAAAGTCACTGTGATAAAAAAATCAGAAGAAACTCATGAGGTAGGCCTGCAAAAGATACACTTCTGCCTCTTTACCTCTGAAACAGTCACTCATTCCATATATCTTCAGAACAATTTTGTTATTTGCTTCCAGTAGGCCAAAAGTTCTGCTTAAAGAAATAATTTATTATAATGAGGATGAGTTGCGAGTTAACCCTTTGACTACTGAGTTTTAATTGGTTGGCCATGCCCTCAGTGCTGAATTTCTGTGTTCTCCTGTGTTCTCCTCCTCCTCCGGACCAGTATAATGGACAGTTGCACTGCTGCCACAGCTTGCTACCATCTATTATACTGGACAGCCACAGCAAGGTGGTTAAGATTTTTATGCTCTTTCAATGGAATAAACAGCTTTCATATTGGTATTATGAAAGGTCTTCAAAAAGTTCTTAGATCCCCAGTTTCAAATTCCCATATCTCTATTTGTGAGCAAGCAAATGCCATACATTTTTTGCACGTTCTTGGTATCCTCTACATGTATTTCAGGCTTCATTCTGTTCCTTGGCAAAGTTTCCAAAGAATTGTGTGTGTTGTTGAAAGCTGGAGAAAATATTCCATGCCCTCTAATTATTCTGAAGCCAATGCAAGGAAAGGCAGGGACTAGCTGAAAGGTCCCCCTCCCTGTGTCTTGTTCTTGAAGTGTAATGAATACACATGCTTGGAACTTAGGCTTCAGGTTTTATTGGGTCTGTAGAATGACCACCTAACTTCCCTGAAGGAAAATTATGTAGGCTGTTTTTTTAATGGGAATTAGGAATTTAAAGTTTGAGATGTTGCACCCCTTTTGTAAGAAAAGTGTCTAGGAGTCTAGGAGTCTTTTTTGCAAAGCCTCCTTAGTCTGGGCAATATGTAACGACTCTCTTGGTTATGTGCTGTTAGGCAAGAACATGAAAGCCATATCAAATATCTGTTTCAGTAAATGCCAAACTTCATGTTTGAGATGTCATTTCTTATCCTGAGTTGAGCAAAACTTGAAAGCAGGTTGAATGTATGTTGCACTTTCTTAAAAGCAAATTTAGTTTTTTTTTTTTAAATGGGTATTCAACTCTTTTTATTTTAAATTAAAAGTTCCTTCTCCAACTTTGCTTGAAAACCTCACCACCAAATAAAGTAAAACTTGAAACATTAACAAAATATGCAACTAGGATTCATTGCCTTTTCCTTGCCTAAAGACAGAGATGGGAACCTTGTAGTCTGAGAGCTCTCTGGATGCAATACATAATTAGAACTGAAGAAATCTCTGAAAGTCAACAAAGTCAGATCATAAAATGATTACCAGGATGTGTCTCCTGCCAAGGAAAGGGCCATATCAAGAATGCTGTTTTTCCCACTTCATTGATTTAATAGGAGAAGCAAAAGGAGAAAAATAGGAAAGAGAAGAAGAAAGAGAGGGAACGGAAAGTTGTTCCATTGTCTCAGTTCCTTGATCAGTCTGGCTCCAATGCTGCTTTGTGAGTTCCTTCTTTCCTTGTTCCACATCATTCACATGATGAGATCCAAGCAGTCATTGTGAATGACAGGAGAAATGGTGTTCATTCCAAGTTGCCATGTTTCCATTTTGCTGTCCTACCTCCCCATCTTCTGTTATGTTGCATCTCTTCTTGTAATCATGGAGTGAAAATTCTCATGTGAAATGTCATTGAAGCACTTGAATAATTTTGCATAATTAACCTTTATCCTACTGCTTTCTACAGTAAGAGGGCTAAGTGTCTCTCATGTAATTCAGTTCCCCTCTCAATTGTACTGTCTTTCCTCTTGGTAACCTCTTGCTAACAGTTGTGCTCACTTATTGTAATACTTTATAAGGTGAATCTTCGGCAACAAAGTTCATCTTTTGTTACAGCAAGGAGAACCTGGAGCGGCTGCATAAACTTCAAGTAGAGAAATTTCTGGTTGATGACAGTGATTCTGCTATCACATTTCCTCAGGTTTGATATTATAGACTCAAATTATCTATTTTATACAGTATTGTCTGAGCCGGTGAAGGATTGATCAGTTTTCATTGGACAGCAGTGGGTAACACTGCTATGAGGTCTCCTCTCCACCAAGTAACTGTTTGAAAGCAAAATTTGGCAAATCTTGGAAGTATTCATAACTGAAGATTGAACTTTTAGGTTGTAATTACAGGTCTGTCTGTAACTACTTGTCCTACCACAGTCCAGATCTCTAGGCAGATGCAGACAAGACTCATTTGATGTTGGGATAAAAAAGAAGCTGTTATTCATGCTCCTAAGTGATTATTTTATTTAAATTTGAAGATAACTACCTAACACTTATTAGGTGTGAAATCGATAACTAAAGGTACTGTCCAACTTTGCTTGACTGCTGATGCAATACCCTACAGAAATTGGGAGGAAAGGTACTATCTGTCACATCCAACATGTTAAGGTGCTTATCAGAAAATATCAATGAAATTGATCATTCAGAACCCTAGTTTACTTTATTTTGCAAGATGCCAAATTAGTGCTTGCATCTGCAAATGCCTACCCAGTAGGGCAGGGATAGGGAAATACAAGTGATAAAGCTTTTATGTGGATTTTAGACAACCCATTTCATTTAAATTTTAATGAAACCGTTACCTATTCTGGTGGCATGTGACATATAAAAAATTTCCTGTTGAAATCTCAAGTGCTGTCCCATCTGTGGACATGAAAATTCACTGACTTTTTTTGAGCTTCCAGATTTTTTTAGGTGGTATGGTTTTATTTGAATAGAACAGGATTCCCTGCCAGAATTTTCCCCATCAGCTTGTTTGTTGTATTGTGTATAGTACTGAAGAGTATTCCTCTGGAATTGAAGTGACATCTATAAATCCCATTTTGGCCTTTGTTTTAAATTCTATCCAATATGCATGGCCTATAAAAATCCATTCACCAAACTATATGCAATAATGCCAGTGCATGTATGTAATCAGCAATTAGGTCATGCATTCATTACATTTAGTCTCTTCCACCAGTTTTCAAAAAACTAAGGAAGCAATGGATTCTAATGCTAATGGAATGAAAGGAAAGCATTCATGGAAGGTTTCACTCCAAAATTCCACAAAATACTTTTTTGACAAGTTAATGATACTGTTTGTTGTCTACAGTTGGCTCCAAGCCTTTCCAGATATCAGTTTCAACCCATGGAAATGGAGGCTCAAGATCAGCATTTTGTGAGTACAGCTTGGGCACAACAAGAGCCCCATCATCCATCTGCTTCTCGTGTTGTTGTTTACCAGTAAGTCTCCCATCTTTGATGTCTCCCACATGTGGCTTTCACTGATCTCTATTTCATGAGAGTTTTTCTTTTAATCACTCAACTGCTTTGCAGACCAGTAAAGCCATTAGAAGAGAAGCTTATCCTTCTTGTATTAGGGTGAGTGCTAAGAATGTCAGCACTCTAAGCAAAATTTAGAAAAAAAGAATTAATTTTATTGTGACTTGGTGTCTTGGAATTGTAGGGGTTTTTAAAGCAGGTGAAATTGAGAACCCTATCCTTTTATTCTCTATTGAGGGGAACTGTAGTGAACTCCATTGATGTGTGAAATTCAGAATCAAAGGATTCTAAGAGGACATGAGTTTTAACAATTTCTTTTTATCAGATACCTTGAGGACCATCTTCGTAATAAGGGACCTCAGGATTCCAATGACCAGGAGTTCCTGGAAGAAATCAACTCATTCCCCTCAGAGGTGCAGCAAGAGATAGCAGAGACTGGTGGAGTCTTGGAATTCCTTCTCCAATCAGATCTCTTCGTGGCTGTAGACAACGTTGTAGCCATTCGAGAAGATTTGGAAAAGGCTCGAAAGATGGCTTTGGCCAAGATTACTACTGAGATCTGCTCAATGCTCTCCTTAACTGGATTGGAGCCTCTTCTTCCACCTGGAGATGTGGTGCATGTTGTTGGGTCTGAGGGAGATGTCCTTTCCATCCAGACCAATGACCCAGGGATGCAGGTTGACTCAACTGATGATGCTGATCTTGAGCATCTCGATTTTGTGAGTTGCTTCTGTTGAACTTGGCTGTTGTATTGCAGTTCTGTCATGATATGAGGCTTTGTTAGATTCTAGAAGTCATATTCCACTCTGTCATATTTTGTATCTACTCGTAAAAGAGTGAATTCTTTATTTTTTTGCAGGATGAAATAGAATCTGAAGTAGAAGAGCCTGGTAGTCAGCTGGAAACTCGGGTCGAGCTCCAGAGCACTGCCATAGGTATGGAGTCTGCCTCTCAAGGTGAAGTAACAGAAAAACTGGATGAAGAGGACCAGGCTCTGACTGAGGCAGCTTCCTGTGATGATGTTGATCTGGCAAACAGACAAGAGCCAACAGTAAATGCTGCTAAGTTGGAGGAGTTTCGAGTTGAGTTGGGATCAGCTCCAGTGCAGGAATTACCAGGTGATATGGAGGAATATGTGGAGAATATGTGGAAAGGATTAGTGGAGTGTGACCTTGCATGGACAGAATCTCCAGTATTGGAGGAAAGCACGAGTATCCCCTTAGATGAAACCAATAGCAACAGCAGCAGCAGTCCAACCTCCATGGATTCACTTCCCAGAGGTAATAGAAGTCCCTCATCCATGGAGGGGGACCCTGCTGTGTCCAAGTCGCCAGAGTTGCCAGGAGCAATCATGAGAAGTCCAACTACTTCAGACGTTGTTCCTGCCACATCCATAGAGAAGGTGAGCCATCATTATATTGACCATTTTGTTTCTAGCTTGTACTGCCTGATAGTCTTATTTTGCCTTGCTCCAATTGTAAGTTGATTCATACAAGCATTGTTCAAATGTAATTTACAAGAAAAGCATATGAATGTCTGTTGGTTGTCTCAGCTTTTTGAACTAATCCTGGTTGGGCTGCAGTTTGAGGCTGAAACTATCGCTTATTTGGACATGAAATCTTAATTTCCTTGTACTTCTACTATTGTATTAGACAAAGCTCCAAAGCATTTTTAAAAAAACCTGGAAATGTTTTTTGTGTTGTGCTCCCCTATCCCCACTGAAATTCAAAACCCAGTTGTGCTAGGTGACTCCAATGGTATTTTCCTGTATTCTGCTTCTAGTAGTTTTCATTGGAAATTTAAGAAAGCAAATACCAGCATATGAGATAAATGTATATTATTCATTTTGGAATACTAATTTCCTGTGCTTAGAGGCTTTTTATGTTTTAAGCAATAATGCGGTGAAACGGCATTTTGTTTAAATAGAAGCATGGTAGAGTGACATTTCTGAAAATTACAGCAGGGGAATATTTTCACTAAAGTGAAAATGAAAGTCAACAGATTGTGATAAAGAGATAAATCCACTTCTTCTTGATACTCATCTAATAAATATATATGAAGAAACCCCTGTTTTAGAAATAATTGGATCTCATCCTAATCCATTAAAATCCTGCCATATCAATCTAGCACAGTGATTCGCAACCGGTGTGCCACAACTAAGCCCCTGATGTGCCGCGGTATTTTCGGAATTATGAGAAATGAAAGAACATCATTGTTTTATTATTCTCAAACTACGACCGACGAACGTCGGTCAAATTGATTAGTGGTGATGAAAATATTATGCACGTGACATTGTGACATTTGGTTCGGTATGCCGCGAGGATCGAGCAAACTCGGGTGTGCCGTGAAATAAAGAAGGTTGAGAAGCAATTATCTGATAAGATTGCAGGTCGATCCAGATTTACTCCCCATGTCATTTGAGTTTGACCTGATTCAGAGTGAGTCCCTCGAAGTTCTGCGACGAATGCCTTAAAACGTTTTACAGTATCGCTTTCAACGCCTGTGATCTCAATCATAAGAACAACCCCCTTTTGCAGTTATGGAGGTGTTGCCGGAGAGTTAGCCGAGTTTCCTGTCCCAATCAATCTTCAGTTCATGTCTTTCACCTAATGGACTCTGAAAATGCCTAAAATCGCCTATCCGGCCTAAAGTCTATGAGAGTGGAGATGGTAGACCTACTTGTTCATGTGTCAAAGACTGCAATTGATTTTCGTGACTCTAAAATCTTTCATTAATCTAATCGAATTAGCAGCCAGACTCTTCGTGCGTTTGATCTCTTGATAGGATAAACACGTTGACCGCTACGTGACACGTCCACGTGTCACTTTGCATGATTTTTACCACGCCAAGGGTAAAATCGTCTGTCCTTCCTGCTTCGCCTAGCAGCTATGTGCACTTCATCATAATCAAAAAAGGTGACTGTGGTATCTTTAACCTTAATCGTAACCAAGGAAGGTGACTGTAGTAGGACCTACATATGTGTTCCACATATACGCCACAGTGTAAACGACAGGCGATTCCAGCCAAGCCTAACGCTTCAAACACAGTACGCTATTTTTTTTATATACTTGTCATTGTAAGTCTTTTTGATATATCTGGATTTTCCTGTAAGTTGCAGTGTTTAATAAGTCAAAAGCTATTGAAGATAGAAAAGACCAAGTACTGCACCGTTTGCACCGACGAATAGCAGTATGACAAGAATTTAAGGAAGATATTTCGGGGGGGGTTAAACCCCATGAAACCCCCCCACTTGTGACCCTCATTTATGATTTGATAAGCTATGACGCAGAGGTGAAATAAATGTTCCTAAGGTGACATTTATTTCACCTCTTGGTAAGGCATCAAAAAAGAAAAAAGCATGACTGTGAAGAGCGTGATCACGGGGCGCCTTACGCTCTGTTGACAAAGTAAATGCGGGTATGCAGCCGATAAGGATGATGCCAATGGTAAGAATGCTTAGTTTTGAGGTTGGTGCATACTTCCACTTGATGGTAAAGGCCCGCGCACACCTCTCCAGTCGCCTCATGACAAGGGACTACAGCATGGCGGCGAACCATGGCTCATACAAGTCGTTTCGCATGCGTTCGTGTATGGATTCTGTCTCATGGCCACTCCGGCCCATGCGTACGGAGCACGTGAGGGGAGATGCTGAGCTGATGTGCCGATGTTCCGTCTTCCGCCGTTTTGGCCCATAGTTGTAGGACAGCGAAGGAGGTACTACTCTTCCAAGTACGGTGGAAACTTAGCCAGATGGCCAGGCCTAACGTTGAGAACTACTATGTCGTCTCCTGCGGCATGGCGCAGGAGAGGACGAGTACTTTTGACGCGAAAGCGAAGTCTTATGTAATGGGTCGAAGAGACATTGCGTTACATCGTGATTCTACGCCGTTCGGCTGCACCGATCCCGGGCCTCTGTCCAATACCGTATGACGACCTTGCCTCTGTCATAGCGTATGCCTAAGGTTAGATCTGTATTAATCTTGCCTTTTCGTGACCTTCAGGTGACCACATTGCTTAGTTTCTCAGTTACGAACACGAACGGAGAACTTCTTAAGTTTGGATTGCCTCCATACGTTTTTAGGCTCACTTTGTGGACTTGGGCTACCGACATATCAGTAGCAGGCATGTGACAATGAATTTGTATCTTGACCTGATCAAGTTAGCCATTGTAAAAATAGAAAGTCTGGACTGATCTTGATTTAGTATCACAAGGGTATTGAATGCATGTGAATCTGTGGAGCAGGCCTAGGTCAGTAAGCTGAGTGGATTGATTGGGAAAGACTTGGTAATGTAACTGGTGAATTCCATTGGTAATGCTAATTCTGACCTTGTGTTCTCTTGGAGAGGCCCAATTACCCCCTTGCCTCTCAGTGATGGTCTCTCACTAGCCATATCGTCTGAAAGGAACCCTTTTTTAGAGAGGATGCTATTTCACTGACACTGAGCTTTATTGGAATATGACTCTTTTTTGCATTCAGTTAGAATCTGAAGAACCCAATGGTTTTGGCTGTCTAAGAATCCATTCTAGACCTTTCCTGCTTTCAGCATTTCCATTCCAAAATGTGGTAACACAGATATTTCTCACCTAATGTAAATTTTGTTGCCTCAGAAAGGTACGAGTTTGGCAAGTTGACTTAGCACTCTTGTGGTCAGTAGGGAAAATACCAAATAAATGGGTATCATGATTCTACAAGATCTACAAAGTCTGAAACCAGACACTGATCCAGGCTCCAATGGGTAAGCCAGAGAGGTGCTACATGGATGAATATGAATTATAATTTACATTTGTCCATATATTTTTTTTGTTATCAGAACATATCAGGCACATGATTTGCAAATGATGTAATCAATGCAACCATACACTGATGCCATATGTGAGTTTTACAAGAATATATATTCTACATTATGAGGTGAATTGATATGCATTCTTTGAGCACATAAAATATTTGCCTGTATCTCCAGCTGATATATATCACACAAAGGCAACTGGAATTTTATTTATTTTGTGCACCTGGATGACCCCAGCCAGGATTTGTCAGATTGACTTTGAATGACAATTCTATTCATGAATTTTTATCCTCTGCTCTTTGAATCAGCTGAAGAAGTATATGATTTGTTCTGTGTCTGGCAATATGTGGATGGGGTTTTTGTGTTCTGGTTTATTTTTTTTCAGTTTAAGCTAGTTAGGGTAGGTGATACAAATTCTGAGCCCCTTAAGCTCAAAATCTGCTCCTTCACCAATGGTTTGATATTCATCTTTTTGAGATCTATGCCAATTAAGAGGAAAATGCCATTCCAGATGCCACCACCCATTCAAATTTAGGGATCAAATACTTGCATAATTATGTTGAAAAAGTCTGCTTGTATTTCTGATTGAGTTGAAATGCATAGCATAGGGGCAGAATTTATAGCAGGGTTGGAATTTGTGTCACCTACCCCATAGCCTTTTGCTGCTTCACTTTCTCTCAGATGAGTCAGACTCAATGATAGGCCTATGTTTCATTTGTACCTTACCAAGAAATTCTTGTTCCATCTAATCCTTTCACAAAGAGCAGCCTTTTCATAGGCAGAAAGCTCTGGCCCATGAATGGTGTGCACAATGCATACCAATCACTCCTGCCAATAAATTTCCTTGTGCAAAAATGAAAATTGAGTTGCCTTTGCTCATGGAAAAAACGGCTGAAGGAAAATGATGACTTTTTGGGTATTTAATGGGTAAATGGATACATAGAAGTAATTTAAGTTAAATTTGTGCTATCTTATGAACATTAAAGAATCTCAAATCACTGAATGTATTTTTTTTACTTCACCTACTTTAATGAAACTGCCATTGGTCTGGAAACTCTTCCTTGCCTGCTGAACAGGTCTGAATCCGAGTGAAATTACTATTAGCACGAAGCTCAAGCCCTTCAAGTTCCACATCTCAACTTTACCACATTTCAATGAAGTATTAGGAACTTATGGCTGACCTACAGTTACAAGGTTGAATTTGATCTGTAGCTTAGTTGGTAGCACAATTATCACTCACAGCAGGATCCACTCATGTTTGAAACTGACTGACTGTGTAAACAAATTTTTTCTGAGCACAGCATGCTCTGAGAGCATGACCTAAGCACTCTCCACTTGATCTGGAGATGTGGGATGTTAGAGAACTCCTATAGCAAAGGTCAAGTCAAAGTAGTGGTTACCTGAAATAACCATGAAAGCCAAATTGGGCTTCCTATGTCCAAAGTTATGTGTTAGATGAGTTTGAGTGAGATAGGGTGGAGATGGGAGAGAGGCTTTGATGGAATTTCAATGCCTAAGTACATTTGTGGACATCATGCACCTGGTAGTTTTTTAATCACATCATACTATTTTCAATTAGGCACTATTGCTGATACTCATGAGCAAGGATCATGCATATATCAGGGAAGAAAAATGAACACAGAGAACATGAGAATTTCTGGTTTTGTTGTGTAGTTGGACAAATGCATCCAGGCAGACATCGACACACAGAGGCAGTTGTTGGAGAAGGAAAACCAGGAACTGTTGCAGCAGGTGTTAGCCTTGCGAAAGGCTAATGATGCCTTGAAGAAAGAGAAAGAGGAGGTGCAGACTGAGACCAAAGTGCTCTGTGAATCTCTTCGTAGCAGCCTTGCCATATCAGAGAGAGCCAAGCAGGTTTGTAACAGCCTATTCAAATTCACGTCCTGGGTTGTAATTGATATGTTATGAATGCTTCAGTTTTCATATTTTTCTCAAGAGCAAGTATTGGTGTAACCATATTTCCAAGATATACCAGACATGGTAGATTTGAGGTATTACTCAAGGTTTATCATTTAAATATGGGATTAACTAGGCCCAATCATAGAACACAAATGTAGCCTTTGGACTTTCTTTTATATCCTTTAATCATGTTACCCTTGGCTTTTCCTCCTAGTTTTGCCATATTGCTTGTTCCCTGTCCTTACATGAAGTTGCCTAGAAAAATAAAAGGCATTTCTTTCTCTTATCACCCTAAAAGAATGTCTTCATTTGTAATGGTTGGTTGCACCAGCTGCACAAATCATATGGTTGAGACTTAAGCCATGTTAAAAGCTTTGTAATGATTCTTTCCCTATTCTTGGAGAAGTGGAACAATNTTCACTGACACTGAGCTTTATTGGAATATGACTCTTTTTTGCATTCAGTTAGAATCTGAAGAACCCAATGGTTTTGGCTGTCTAAGAATCCATTCTAGACCTTTCCTGCTTTCAGCATTTCCATTCCAAAATGTGGTAACACAGATATTTCTCACCTAATGTAAATTTTGTTGCCTCAGAAAGGTACGAGTTTGGCAAGTTGACTTAGCACTCTTGTGGTCAGTAGGGAAAATACCAAATAAATGGGTATCATGATTCTACAAGATCTACAAAGTCTGAAACCAGACACTGATCCAGGCTCCAATGGGTAAGCCAGAGAGGTGCTACATGGATGAATATGAATTATAATTTACATTTGTCCATATATTTTTTTTGTTATCAGAACATATTAGGCACATGATTTGCAAATGATGTAATCAATGCAATCATTCACTGATGCCATATGTGAGTTTTACAAGAATATATATTCTACATTATGAGGTGAATTGATATGCATTCTTTGAGCACATAAAAATGTTTGCCTGTATCTCCAGCTGATATATATCACACAAAGGCAACTGGAATTTTATTTATTTTGTGCACCTGGAAGACCCCAGCCAGGATTTGTCAGATTGACTTGGAATGACAATTCTATTCATGAATTTTTATCCTCTGCTCTTTGAATCAGCTGAAGAAGTATATGATTTGTTCTGTGTCTGGCAATATGTGGATAGGGTTTTTGTGTTCTGGTTTATTTTTTTTCAGTTTAAGCTAGTTAGGGTAGGTGATACAAATTCTGAGCCCCTTAAGCTCAAAATCTGCTCCCTCACCAATAGTTTGATATTCATCTTTTTGAGATCTATGCCAATTAAGAGGAAAATGCCATTCCAAATGCCACCACCCATTCATATTTAGGGATCAAATACTTGCATAATTATGTTGAAAAAGTCTGCTTGTATTTCTGATTGAGTTGAAATACATAGCATGGGGGCAGAATTTATAGCAGGGTTGGAATTTGTGTCACCTACCCTATAGCCTTTTGCTGCTTCACTTTCTCTCAGATGAGTCAGACTCAATGATAGGCCTACGTTTCATTTGTGCCTTACCAAGAAATTCTTGTTCCACCTAATCCTTTCACAAAGAGCAGCCTTTTCATAGGCAAAAAGCTCTGGCCCATGAATGGTGTGCACAATGCATACCAATCACTCTCCTGCCAATAAATTTCCTTGTGCAAAAATGAAAATTGAGTTGCCTTTGCTCATGGAAAAAATGGCTGGAGGAAAATGATGACTTTTTGGGTATTTAATGGGATACATAGAAGTAATTCAAGTTAAATTTGTGCTATCTTATGAACATTAAAGAATCTCAAATCACTGAATGTATTTTTTTTTACCTCACCTACTTTAATGAAACTGCCATTGGTCTGGAAACTCTTCCTTGCCTGCTGAACAGGTCTGAATCTGAGTGAAATTGCTATTAGCACGAAGCTCAAGCCCTTCAAGTTCCACATCTCAATTTTACCACATTTCAATGAAGTATTAGGAAGCTATGGCTGACCTACAGTTACAAGGTTGAATTTGATCTGTAGCTTAGTTGGTAGCACAATTATCACTCACAGCAGGGTCCACTCGTGTTTGAAACTGACTGTGTAAACAAATTTTTTCTGAGCACAGCATGCTCTTAGAGGGATACCTGAGCACTCTCCACTTGATCTGGAGATGTGGGATGTTAGAGAACTCCTATAGCAAAGGCCAAGTCAAAGTAGTGGTTACCTGAAATAACCATGAAAGCCAAATTGGGCTTCCTATGTCCAAATTTATGTGTTAGATGAGTTTGAGTGAGATAGGGTGGAGATGGGAGAGAGGCTTTGATGGAATTTCAATGCCTAAGTACATTTGTGGACATCATGCACCTGGTAGTTTTTTAATCACATCATACTGTTTTCATTCAGACACTATTGCTGATACTCATGAGCAAGGATCATGCATATATCAGGGAAGAAAAATGAACACAGAGAACATGAGACTTTCTGGTTTTGTTATGTAGTTGGACAAATGCATCCAGGCAGACATCGACACACAGAGGCAGTTGTTGGAGAAGGAAAACCAGGAACTGTTGCAGCAGGTGTTAGCCTTGCGAAAGGCTAATGATGCCTTGAAGAAAGAGAAAGAGGAGGTGCAGACTGAGACCAAAGTGCTCTGTGAATCTCTTCGTAGCAGCCTTGCCATATCAGAGAGAGCCAAGCAGGTTTGTAACAGCCTATTCAAATTCACGTCCTGGGTTGTAATTGATATGTTATGAATGCTTCAGTTTTCATATTTTTCTCAAGAGCAAGTATTGGTGTAACCATATTTCCAAGATATACCAGACATGGTAGATTTGAGGTATTACTCAAGGTTTATCATTTAAATATGGGATTAACTAGGCCCAATCATAGAACACAAATGTAGCCTTTGGACTTTCTTTTATATCCTTTAATCATGTTACCCTTGGCTTTTCCTCCTAGTTTTGCCATATTGCTTGTTCCCTGTCCTTACATGAAGTTGCCTAGAAAAATAAAAGGCATTTCTTTCTCTTATCACCCTAAAAGAATGTCTTCAGTTGTAATGGTTGGTTGCACCAGCTGCACAAATCATATGGTTGAGACTTAAGCCATGTTAAAAGCTTAGTAATGATTCTTTCCCTATTCTTGGAGAAGTGGAACAATCTAAGCTCTTTCACAGCTCTGTTTGGCAGTTCAGAGCTGAATAGCATGCATTTCTCATCTCAGGTAGTCCAGGCTAAGAAAACTTGACATACCTGTGAATGAGATTTACAGGAACAGAGATGTTTATTCTTGTAAAATTCTCTGTGAAAGACTGTGAACAAATGCATGAAAGTAGTTCTTTAGAAGGTTGGGCAAGGAGAAGTGCAGTGACAAGATAAAGGTAATAAATGGAATTTTTAAGAGAACATAGAGGGTAATAGATATTTTAGGTCCTTTCTATCATGAAAAGACAGATTCTCAACTGTTATCTCAAATATGTTTTGCAAAGCACGGTTTCATTGTGCTAGTACCTGAAATACCCTAATTGTGTTTCATCTTGGGAGATGATGATATCAAAGACTGAAATGATTTTTGAGTAATTTAATTACTTGAAGGTGAGGAAAGGGGATTAGTGTAAGACTATTAGACAAGCCACTGCATTCAATGATATCTGGAAACTCCATCCATGGTTCATTGTCTCCAGATTTTTTGGTTGTGAGTCTTTTAGCTAAATTGATAGAAAAGAATATATGATTTGTCATGTCTAGCCTTTAGTCCATGGGGTATGTATCTGTAAAAGACTGCTATTTCAAGAAAAAAAAGTTATTGGAAAATTTTATCTTATAAGTGGGGGGAAGGGGGTGTGGATGTCATGCTTTGTTTGCCTGTGTATCTTTTGTGGGAAATTCCAATTTGTCACCACAGGTTCATGGGAAGGAAATATATTTTTACTCCTGAGGTAGTTTATTAACCCTTTTCCAGGCAACAGGAATCCATTGGACCCATGTGTATATTTATTGCAATACTTTCTGGAAAAAAAAATTTTTCCTTGGAATTTAATTTGTCTTTCATAGACAGTTATCTATAGATCCAAAAGCAAATTTAAAGTATTCTTTGTTTTCAAGGAAAAAATTATTAACATTTTGCCTTGCCCATTAGTGCCACCAAAATACCTTGCCTGGATTAAGACATAATAATATATGTCTTGAGTGAATTGTCAATAGTGCTCACCATTGCAGCTACAAGTTGACTGCTTGGGTGTGACATTGTTTTCAATTTATCAGAGCTTTTTTTTTTCATTGACCTTAATGACTTGGACTTGGTGCTTCTGTGACATTCAAGCAATGCCCATTTTTATGGTAAATAAATAATTGTGAATCCTTCCATCAGGATATCATAAATGTCAAGTCTCACTTGGAGGAGGAATTAGACATGCTGAAGAAGAAATCTGACAAAGAGCATCAAGATTTCACCAGCCAGGTAATATCACTCCAAGGAGAGCTAGACACCAAGAAGAAAGAGCTAGAATTGTCCAAAGCAAGTTCCATGGAAGAAATTAATCAGATTTCACTGGAACGTGATGAACTATTTGCACGCTTGGAGGAAGAGAAGTAAGTCAATTTAATTTTGTTTTTATGTGGTATGTTTGATTTGGATCAATATTGATGCCAAACCTCACCTTGAATTCATAGGCAAAAGTCTGGAGATTGGGAAGCTGATTTCCATGAGGTTTATGAAAAGTTGAAGGAACTGGAGAAGCGAGCTATTGATGCTGACCTAGAACACCTAAAAACCAAGGAAGAGGCAGGGTTAATGACACTGTACAAGTGAGCATCATCCTGTTGCAGTTCAAAGTGATGATGCAAGAAGCCATAGTTCATATAACTTGTTTATGCTGGTTGCAGTGCAGTGAAGCAAGTATCAAATCAGATGACAGAGCTGAGAAAATATCGGGATATTGTGGCACCCTTGCAGCCCAGCTGCATCCCTGTCATAGATTCCTGCCTGGAGGAGCATAAGAAAAAAATCATGGATCTTGTCTCTCTCAAAGATCGACTTGTGGTATGTGATCCTCATTTTGATTAAATACATGCCATCATTACTATATTCACAGCTCTTGTGGAAAGCTTGGATCTCTTTAGTTTCCAAATGTAAGAGATCAAGATGTAGTTTATTGCTTACCCCAGTAACACCAGATATTGGCGCAATGCTGGACCGACATTGGGTACATTAGCCACATTTTGGACAATATTGCCAATATAGGCTAAATATTGGCTCCCTCAATATTGCCATTCCATCGTTGATCCAATATTGGACTGACACGATGATCCAATGTGCCTGACTGCACTTAAAAGTTTTTGGAAAATGATGAAGTTTTCCTTCAGGCCACTAGATGATGGTATAGGTCTCACTTTTCACACAGTACACAGAAGTACTTTTTCCTCTTTCCCTGTTATCATCCCTCACATGGAGGTTGTTAGTACCTTGCCGTATGTCTCGCCTAGTCTCGTTATAGCAATCTCAGACACTTCATTTGTTATCTACATATTGAAGACAGAATCGTGGAGCCCAAGCCACAAACAAGCTCATATTCCTGATGAGAACCCTTTAAGAAAACGGTGACCCTATCCAAAAGGAGTATTAGGAAATTGTAAAAATCTGTGGGATCATGCCTCTGTTTCTTCATCCTGAGGACATAATGAGGAAACAAGCAAATGTATTAGCAAATACTCCATAGAACAGCAAGGAGTGGACCTTCCCTGATATGTACTACGATTAGTACATTCAGGAAAGATCAACTTCTGGACTGTTCTATGTCTTCTGCCTATCCATGGGACAGACATGTGCATGGGCAGAGGGTTATATAGGTACAGACTGTACTAGTACTTCAAATAGAAATGCTTTCACCTTGGGAATACCTCCACTGGATAAAGAATTTAGAGAAAATATTAATGCCAGTATTAGCCCAACAAGGAGCCTGGTAGTAATCCCAATAATGGTCCAAGATGGGTGCCAATGTTGAGCCAAGATGTATATTCCTTGGCAATCGATATTGATCCAATATTGGGGTGCTACTGGGGTATGTCCTCCACCAATGAAGTGCCAAAAAATGGCTGACCAAGCCATGAAGCTAGAGCCATGAAGGGCCAAGCATGCCTGTGAATGCTGACGATCTGCCAACATCACCATGAAGGGGCCATTGTTGGGCCAAGCATTTTGGTGATGTGGGTCCTTCTCTAGGGTTGCTGAGAACACTGAATCTCACTTTTTTAGTTGTGAATTTAATTCCCATGGGTTTTTTTCTCTCCCCCTCTGTTTAGTTGGTCTAAAATTATATATCCTCTCTTGAAATGGTTTGTGAAGAAAGGCAGAATAGGCCCATAATCAGCCTAATTTGCCCCATAAATTGTGGGTTGAGATTCATTAAAATGGAAAAGGGTATGGCCTAGCTTAATGTCTTTTATAGAAAGTATTGATGGTTTACAAATTGTGTTATTTTAAGATATGCTAATCAAACCTTACTTCCAAAATTTCAGTTGCAAAAGTTGTTTTTGTTTTCTCTAAATTGATGATAATGAATTACTTTCTATGCTATTAATGAGCTATTCATGTAAGAGTCTTTGCCATTAGTTGGTTCTCATGGATGAAGATTTTGTGATGGTGTCCACTGGTACTTTACCTTGTCTCATGAGTATGTGTTATCTTATCTTCCAGCACCAATTGCGAGATTGCTTGAATATGGTGAAATCAGGAGTACCTCTCTCCAAATTGCCTGAAGTTCTTATCCCAACTATTCCAGAGAATGACACGACTTTACAAGAACTGGTTCAGAGCATCAGTGCTACTGTGTCAAATGACTCAGTGGCTATGGGTGCTGCATCCTCCATGCCCACTGGTTCTTGGTCCAGTGAGCAACTGGCCTCATTGGTGTATGGATTACAACAGCAACAGAGCACTGGCTCCACAGCAGGGCTATCCAGTC